GTAGCTAATTTAGTTGTTTGGATTTAGCCAGATACTAAATTCTATTTAACCCATCCAAAGAAACTGCAAAAACTGATCTAAATTAGTTTCAACTACAAAATGAGTTTTGCATTATGAATCCACACACACCAGACTGTGTGCATAATTTTGGGAGGGAGCATGACCTACAAAAAGCTAGAATGGGTCATAATGTAACAGGGAAATACAATTGCCTACTTTTCTCTTAATTGTCATGCACATTAATATCAACTTTAATTCTCAGTGCCATTTGCTTATGTTATCAAAAGGCAGCACCCAGCCATCAGAGGAAAGTAATAAACAATTTGGTTTGAGAATTACATAAAACTAGGGAGAAAACCTGAATGGGAATTCTCAAACTATTCAAGGACCAAACATGTTTATTTGACATGAAATGCTAATGACTGTTGAAGGAAACATGAGAATGTAGTGTTTGGAATCTATAACAAAGAACAACTCATACTTTTTTTATTATTATTACACTTATCTCTGTTTAGGGGATGATTTCTTCTATTTGCTCTCCCAAATGTTGAAAATGTTTGCCATTATAGTGAAAATTCAAAAGAGAAGCATGGGCCAAGAAACATGAATTTTCTGAACTAATGCATATAATCTGTTTCAGCTTTCTTAGCTTTTTTCCCAAGCCACTACCAATAATCTCACATTTCAGATTTAATTGACAGATTACATTTTTTCACATGATGAACTTAATGTGTAGCCTGGTATAGTCTGGCCTATGAAGCAAAAGTGATTTTTTTTCATTTTTCCATTAGCATATATTGTGTACAGATTCAATGACAATTTCAGGTCTACACAATCATTAAAAGATTTGCCATAAAAATCAATAGGCAATATTAAATGTTTTAAACTTTCAATATTTAAACCTGATCAATTAAAAATAAAATAAAAGGCACATTAAATTTGGCCCTAAATGAATTTAGATTAATGCTTCTAATTGATGAAAATAAGATATCAACAAAGGTGCAATGGCAGGTAGAACTAACTGCTGGAAAAGCTAACGAGAAAATGTGCCCAAGGAAACCCTAACAGAACATTCATAAACAATTCCAACAAGGAGAAAAAAAGATAGCAAAAGCAGATGGAACTGCAAAAGTAACTTAAGAAAGATCCAGTGATAAAGGTGGTTTATCTGGGAGGTTTAAAAAAGAGGAAGATCACAAAGGAAGAGTACCTACAGATTACCTGGATTTGTAGAGATGATGTAATAAAAGCTAAAACTCAGAACGAGCCAAAATGAACAATTCTAAGAATCCTAACAAAAGGAGCTTCATATATGCCTATGCCTATAGCAATGAAAATAGCAAAGGCTGCTTGATTCTTATTCAGTCTTGTCCAAAAAGAGGGCATGCATCCTACTGAACAATTATGAAGAGCCAGTTGGATGAACAATTTAGATTTCATCTAGCTAAGGAAGAGTTGTTAAAGCAGTTCACACTCCTATTTAGCAGATGAGATAAGAGCAAGGAAAACCTAGACTCAAGTCTATCTTTGGTCACAGAAGCTCATTGGTGGCTTTGGACAAGTTTTTTTATTAGCTCCCCTTTTCTCACAGAGCTGTTATGGAGAAAAGCAAAGCAGGGTGGCTCTATATATTCCTTCTTGAGCATTTGTGATTTTCCAAATCACAGGACGTAATTGTTCCATTCAATTCTGAACTGGTCAGAACCCACTGAACCCACAGTCCAGTTCTTGGCATTTTATTTATTTCATATCACATTTCCTAACCAAACATTTCCCTCAGAGCATTACTGTTATAAGAAAATTTTAGATGACTATAACAAGTAGAAAGAGAAGCAATAGGTGATCAGGGGCTGGAAATCAAGTGCAACAGGAGAGATTAAGGAAACCAGTCTTGAGAAAAGAAGGCTCAGAAGGGAATAAATATCAGGGTACAGAAAAATGGTCTTAATTTTCAGCAAGCCATATTTCTGCCGAATGTTAGAATAATTTTCAATAAGAGGAGCGGTTCAACAGTCAAATCAGTTATTGTGAAATAATAGTTTCCCTTCACCGGAAATCTTCTAGCTGGGCAGACATTTGTCACAAATTGGACTCAGTGGTCTAAATAAACTATATCAATGATATAATGTACACTTCTATGACAAACAGGCTGATTTTAATAGTTTGGTGCAAAAGGGGTCTGCAGACATGAACTGCAGTATATACTTGAAAGGGGTGTGTTTGTGTGTGTGTACATGTGCAATATCAGAAAAATAGATTTTTTTCCCATCCCATATTTAAGCTACTTGTTACTTACCAGAACAAAGTCAATTTATTTTGAAACAGTAATTTCTTTGACAACAGGAAAGATTTTTATAAACTGTCCCAGGCAAATACGAAGTTCCATGCCCTTGCATTTTTAAGACAGATTTCGTATTAAGAGCAGCATACGGCAAACGTAAACATACTGTATAAACCATTGTCCAACATATAAATAATATACGAATAATTCAATAACTCCAGAATTCTCTCAGGAAAGCAGAACAGTAACTGAAGACACACTGGGCACCAGAGGCCAATTCCAAAAGCCAGCAAGAAAAAAATAAGTCTGCATGATGAGGATGGGTATCCTCTATCTCCTTAATCAGGGGTCCTCAACCTTGGCAACTTTAAGACTTGTGGACTTCAACTCCCAGAATTCCTCAGCCAGCAAAGCTGGCTGAGGAATTCTGGGAGTTGAAGTCCACAAGTCTTAAAATTGTCAAGGTTGAGGACCCCTGCCTTAGGTCAATATTATTGTAGACACACATATAGATACCCAATTTTTTCTTGCTCAGAAATGGAAGAAATTGTGCACTGGATATCTGCAGCATGTGCTGTCCTCTAAGGCTGTGCAGCAGTTTTAATTCAAAATGGGAAAAATGATTCCAGGTAGGGGGAGCACTACCATTGAACCTATGGAAAAGTACTTAAAACATCTGCATTGCTAAAGTGTTAGTTGCTGCACAATCCCAAGAAAAGACAAACTGCAAATAAACATGTGAGCAGTTCTGGATGCTCTTTAGCATTTCCCCCCTTTGAATCCAAAGCATTGCAGAGCCTGCTTATTCTCTACCATGTGAAGACCTTATTATTGTGAATCAGAAATGGAACCCAAATGTGCTTTCATTCTGTGAGTTTTCCCCATCTAATAATGCTGCATATTCAGTGTAATTTCTAGAAAATTTAATGGCAGGATTCTAGTTAGTATAAATGTGTTTTCAATCTCCTTTTCCAGACAGTATGGCTAAAAAAAACCTTCCATTTATGGTTTAAGGCTGAAATGAGTAACCCATTTGTGACTGAAGCCATACCGTAACTAATTATTGATAGCTAACAGCTCCAGAGAACAAAATGGTACCAGGATTCAAGATATTTCAAACAGAGTCTCCATTATTTGTTTCTACCAAGCCTTTCAAACATCAAATATCATATAACTTCCTTGTTTTGTTTCTTGACAAAAAAAAAATTGTAGGAAACCACAGCTCCATTTTTCAATAGTTTGTTGCTGAATTTCAATAAATAGAGTGAGTTCAGGGGTTCTGGGATAAACAAAAAAGAGGCCTCATGGAAGCATATAGCCTGATTATCTTTCAGAAGCAAACATGTTGTGCAAATGCTAGTTTAAAGTCACATTAATCATAGAAAAACCCAATATTATTTACTTAACATCAGTGGGTTTTTGAAATTAGTGGTCCCGTAGCAAGCTGACTTTTGAAGATGATGATTTTTGCAACTGGACTACTTGAAGGGAGATAACAGCATGTTTGTACAGACCAATCACTTACAATGAATCCATGCGCAGGCAGTGTCTTGAAACTACAAATAAAGCAAAAATCTAAACAAAGAATCTATATCAGCAATGCCTGAACTGGTATTCCAAGAGCAAATTTATAGTTCTACTAGAAAATATGAAGGCCTCAGGTCTCTAGTTCCCTCAAAAAGAAATGACATTAAGGTAACCACAATTAAAATAGGAATGTAGAGAACACTAGCAGCATTCTGCAGTGTTTTAATCCAGCAGGGCTCCTCAAGGTATAGCAAAGCCACCACTGTACCAAAGTTCAACGCCAGAGATAAATTAACAGTTTCTTGGGCATGCTATCCCCCAAAGAACTCAAGTGATTGCCATTGGTTAGCTAACCATGCTATGCTACCCACATGGTGATGGCTGCAGTTTGAGTGTTAAGGTGTGATTGTATGAAATCCAGTGGCAAGTCTGCTTAAATTGTCATTCAAGATGCTGTGAAAGAGTGAACGTGTGAGTGACTAATATGAGATGGGGACGATAAAGGGGGATGCATTTCATATTCCAGCTCATTGTTTTTACTTTTTGCATCTACGATTACAGCAACCAATTGCACTGCAGAAGGTCTACCAGACAGGCTAGTGCATGCACTCCCTACAGTGCCAATCTGTTGTGTTTTTTTTAAAATATAAAAGACTTTCCCTCAAAATTATCCTCTCTTTCTTGGAAAGATCTAGTTGACTTCCAATGGCACCTCTAAGCCTTTCTGATTTGACCTCAGAAAGTTAAAATAGAGTAGTGCAGAAAAAGAACCTTATCCCTTTTCCAGTAATTCTAATCAACTGGACAAGCATCAAAGAGAACAAAGCACCTTATCAAACCAAAGGTGCCTTCGTGGAATCTCCTTCCTCCCAGAAGTGAACAAGAGCACAAGCTCTATTTTTGCAAATACATTTTCTCACCAGGGCAAATTTTCAATATTTTGCCCGTCTCAGCTGCAATCATCTGACCTCTGTGAAACATTGCTTCCCTCTTATCTGCCCCATGTACTGAGATGAACCTGTAAACATGTGAGCTCAGTGATCTGAGGTACTTCACATAAAACTTACTCAAGTATCAGTCTTTTCTTTCAAAACATTAACATAGGGAAAAAAAGATTAGAAGAAGTCACTCTGACTCTTCTTTCAATTTTGTGAACTTTTTTTTCCCTCCTAAGCAGATGGTTTGACAGTAGCTACCTCTGAACAACATCACTGATTTCTTGAACACAAGACAATAAGTTATTAAGGACAGGATTTGCTCCAGGAAGATTAGCAGCCATCGAGGACACCTGCAGTTCCTGCAGGCTAAGTTCCAGTTTGCTTACAGCTTCCCGAAAGGCAAACTTGTTGCGCGTTTGGGGGATGCAATCCACATAACCTGAACAGTAATCTAATAGTTGGTGCCCAGTATCCACCAGCTGGCTATTTGTGGTAGGCTCTGCAATGGCACTGGAGAGGAGGTCTGCACATTCCAGAAGCGCCTCTTTGCTGATCTTGTCTGCTGAGATTCTCTCAGCTGTCTGTTTGGTCTTTCTCAGAGCAATTTTAGCTCCTGCTGTGCCATTTGCCATTTTAGCAGGTGACGAAGGCAATGGCAAAGGCACTTGAGGTGGAGGTATTACTGGCCTTCCAGCTTTTCCACCAGTAGGTGCCACTGTTACCTTTTTGCTGCCCTCACTATCTTGCCCAGGCTGTACCAATGCTCCATTATCCAACTCTTCTACTGTATCTGAGGTACCTGGAGGCTGATGGAGGAGCCTCAGGACTGCTTGTGGGGGTGGTGGGGGTGGCGGTGGAGCACACTTTGGTTTTATCCGTCTGGGTCTATCCCTGTCACTAGAAGCAGTGCTCTGATGCTCAGATAAGAGCTTGAATCGATTCCCCTGAGAGTCTGTGCCAATGAGCTGCACCTCAGCTGGTGTATGCTTTAGAGTAGGTGAGATGAGAACGGGCACTTTGTGATTGTGAGTAGTTGGAAGTATTGCTACAGCCTTGGCCGGAGAAGGCCAGCCTGGTTTTTCTTCCCCTTCTACTGAACCTTGTCGTAGCCCACTGTTTTTTTCTTTGCTTTTCAGGCTGGCTGCTGCTGTTGGCCCTTGACAATCCTTCTCTAAAACAGATGTGTCCACAGAAGGAGTTCTGAGAGGAACAGCAGTAGCACCCCTCGGCAGCAGTTTAGCTTTTGGTCGGCTTCTGGTCAGCGTATGAGTATCTTCACACCTTTTAGGGAGAAGATCACTGGACTTGTCTGCGTTCTCCTCGGGCTCGGAGGAAGTGGATACTGTCCTTTCCAGTTGAACTTTGGACCTGTGGCAATTTCGGGGAAGAGTCATTGCCATTCTCTCCTGGTCAGGAAGACCTGCAGACATGGAAGATGTGGAGTTTGATCGGGGAAAAGGTTTTGAAGTTTCATCACCTCCAGTGGGCCTCCCAGCTCGTAAGCCAAATGTCTTTTTAATCAGGCGAGGTGTAAAGAAGCCTGTGAGGCCTGACCAACCGCTACCAATGCTGGTGCCCCCACTGCTGCTGCCACCACCATCTTCCCCATAGATGTTCCGCTGTGCAAAGCTCCCAATATAACACTTGGATAAGCAAAGATTTCCATCTTGCTGGGAGGGAGCAAATGAAAATCCATCAATATGCTGCAATGGACCAGCTCCGGAAAAATTACCCATTAATTCGTACTTCTTATGAGCCTGGTTTTCCATTTCACGGAAGGAACTGCTGCGTTTGGGAGGTGTGGGGGCATTTTTCTTTTTCATAAACGAGCTAAAGAAACCACCTTTTCTGTCTCTGGTAAAGGTAGTTTCCCTAGTATCTTCTAACAGGCCACTCGGTGACTTGTCTCTCTGTTTACGAGGTAGTGCTGGGGATCCGCTGGTCTGCTGTGTGCTTCTGATAAAACCTAGACAAAAGAAACAAAAAAGTCTGCTGCTCATGGTGATGCAGTAACTTTGTGCCTCTTTCACACTGAAAGGAGAGGAAACAGCCTTGCTGTTCATCAGAGAAATACTGATATTAACTTGTAAAAGACATAGAAGAATGGCATTTGGTCTGCAGAATTATCCATTTTGCACAGCAAAAGCAGAATTGATAATTGGCACTGAAGGCTTAGAAATCTTGAGTCTCTGATCTTTGCTATGAGGGAAAGCATATTTAAAAGGCTTCTTTTTCCTCTCAGCAATCAGGTGAAAGGGAGAAGACATCTGGTCATGGATACATCACTGATACCTGGCACAGCCCTTTCTTAGTTTTAATTTCCTAGTCTTCTCTCCTTATCTTGACTACAGTGATATATATTGATTTCAGATATCTCTCTGTATGATGTTGCTTAAATTTCTTCTATTTTATTATGGCCACTACTGCATTCTTAGCAAGAAAAGCAGTTAATCTACAATTGACTGATTGGGGGTGGGTGGGTTACTATGTAATTACTTTTTATACATTGCAGAAATCAGATTCAATTAAGAGCTTGCACATTTGAACTGGTTTAATATATAATCTAAACCCGCTGACCAGATATTCTGCTTCCTCCACCATCCATAAATACAGAAGGATGTATCCACTTTTTATGTCTATTCACCAGCAGAACAAATGTAATCTCCCATTTTAATTATTTATGGATCTTTAAACCTGTTCCAGAAGATTGGTGCATCCTTCACGCTAAATTTCAAGAGAAGAATTTAGAGAAGATGAGAAATTATGTGCTGCAATGCTAGATGTAATCCAATTTTTCAGAATCTTTCCTTTGCTTTGAAACATTATTTCTTAGGACCTGAGTCCCTGAGTCTGGACCACTCAAATAACATACCTGGAGCAGAACTGGATGCAGAATGCTCTATGATCTCCTGAGCTCCTTCAATATTCTCTTTGTTTTCTGTTTGCTTTTTTAAAGTTCTAGTCTTGGAAGGGAGAATAGGTAATCGAGGCAAATATGGAACTACTGAAGAAGAGGATGAGGTCCTTCCAAGTTCTTCTGCCACTTCTGTAAGAAGCATGCATGAAATAATTTGTATTCATTAATTACAGGATGTTTCAGTCAACCAAATCTAAGCAAGAGGAGAATCAACTGAAGTCAGTGCAACAATAAAATACAATGTGTGCAACAAGACCAACATGGTTCATGACTGCAATCAAAAGTTTACAATTAACCATGGAAATGATTAAATGTTCCTTGCAACAGAAATACCTTTTGAAACAGCCAAGTTTTTGGAATGTTATGTTGCCTCAGGGGGCAACCTATTCCAGAGATGTGGTGCTCCTATAAAGAATACTTATTTTGAGGACCATTGTCACTGTACCTAACCATAGTTTGGGTCTTTTGCACATGTTCTCCATGCCCTCAGATTTGGTGGGCAGATTTATATAGGATAAGTGGTCTTGAAGATATGCAAGCTACATAGGGCTTTATATATAATGACTGCACACTGAATTGCATTTGAAAACATATTATTAGCCAGTGCATTTCCTACAGCAATGATTTTATATGCCAGTATTGGAATTATCCAATTGAAATTTCCAGATGATGTTCAATAACAGTCCTGAATGAAATTATAATAATCTATAAGGGAGATGAAAAAACAAGAGCAACTATCTTCAGTTCCTCATCTAGGTAAGGCTACATTCAGTTCAATAACCAACGGTGGATAAAGGCTTTCCTGGTTATAACGTCCACCTACCATTCTAGCAGGAGCTATGAATTCAGGAGGACCATCAAAGTGCAGGTCTGCTCCCAATGGGGAAGCAATTTCATTGAGAGTCAAAAATGATACAATCAATGTATCGTAACAGAATTGGTGGATTTCTAAATAAATATGCACACTCTCTTTCTAGAGTTGAGTCTGAATCAGTTGTTCCACATCCAGGTCCTGACAGCCAACAGATGATGGATCAGGGCTTCTACTGCAACCCTTATATGGCTGTAGGTATGCACAATTAGATTTCACACTGCATAGATGGCATAATTAGGTATAAGACCAAGCCCTGAAGCAGCATGTGATGGAGTGCATAAGAACAAGAACTCTCCACCCATTCTGTAACAATTAACTGGGCCCTCCCAGTCAGGAAAGAACACAACCACCAAAATATAGTTACTTCAACTACCAATATTTGATTAAGGCAGAATATAAATGTAATAAATAAATAAAGTAGGTGGTCCAGTAAGTATCACATAGTACCAAATACTGCCAAAAGGTTTAGACAACCATAGTCAAGTGATCTGAAGATGACCAATATGGTTTCAATTCTACATCCAGGTCTAAATCCTGATTGCAACAGGTCTAGGCAACAGCTTTTCTAAAGTTCTTTGTAACTGTTACCCTACTGAAACAGAGAAGCAAAGGAAAGGGAAAGAAAGAGCTGGTGCTACTAAGAGATGACATGGTGAAGTTTCTATTCAGTTGCATAATGAAATAGTTTTAAGGACTTCAAAATGCCAAAGTAGCAATATATTGGGCAATATAATATATCCTACTGACAGCTAGGCAGCAACAGACTATTTTTCAGAGACTAACAGTTCAGAAGTATGGCTTCTAAAGAATCAAACAATAGAACTATAGAATGCCTTGAATTTTATTTGAAAGTAATTTTTAGAATGTGCAGAAATAAGAACAGCATCTAAGTGTGTCTCATTAGAGCAGCTGTTTCTCTTTCTAAAACCTCATAAGGGAATGGGTACAGAGAAAGGCACCTGGTAAGTTATACTGGTTAAAAAATAGTTAACTTTATTTAAAATAAACCTAGGTTGAACAGGAGATGACTCAAAAGCCTTCTATCCAACTCTATGATTCTACATAGATTATCCAAGGAAAACTATTGTTCAGTTTGCATTCTGATCCACAATTTAAGGAAAAATGATTTTTCTTTGTAGTCCCAACAAACCCCTTCCAGCCAGTTTCAACTTGTCAAAGAAATGACAAGTAATCTATCTGAAATTAAGTAAGATCGTGATTGTAGCAAATCATACTACATCAAGATATCTGATTTATGGATCAGTTCATTGGTAAATCATGATTTAAATGGAAATCTATAGCCTCTCAAGAGCTGTGAACTACAATCTTGTGTGACTTAGTAAGAATGGCCAAAAGTAAAGAATGCTGCAGTTTGTAATTCAGCAACATTTAGCCATAGTTTCCTCACTCTGAACTAGGGGGAAAGAATTTGATACGCCTAACTTAAGCCATTATTCTCATATTAGTAAGTGGATCAGATCACAACTAGTTGTTTGCAATGAAAATGGATTGGATAATTTTGCATCATTGTTGATTTAAAAAAAACACAGACACAAACTGCATGCTTTGGGAAGAAATACACACAAAAAGTGCATACTTATTAGAATAAATGAGTACATGCTTTGGCTTGCATATTCTCCCCCCACAATTCACAGATGAGGAAAGACAATAAACACAAGATTTAAAATCTCTTCCTTCACACATTAAAAGCAAAGTGAGAATGGGGATAATTCACAGTTTTAGGTTTGTGTGTAAATCTTCTACTTTAGTGGCCCCCAATCTTTTGGGCACCAGGGACCGGTTCTTTGGAGAGAGGTTTTTTCCATGGACAGAAGGGGGCATGGTGTTGTGTATTGCCTGCATCCCACAGGAGTTCACTTGTTTGTGAGGCCCATTTCCTGGCATGCCACGGACAGGTGCTGGTCCATGGACTGGAGGTGGGGACCCCTGTTCTAGTTGCTCAACTTTGTAATTCTAACATTTAATATAGGTTTGAATTGGGCAATTGTCTGGATTGTTTTATAGTAGAAATTCAGTAGCTAACAAAACATATTCAAATGATTTTGATTACATTGGGGAAGCAAAAAAAACAAACCCTTATTTCAAAAATATAATAGAAACTTCAGAATAAGTTAGCAAATAGGTCCTTACCTTCAGAAATGCTAGAATCATGAAACATGGTTTCAAAAGCTTGGTGAGTTTCAGCAAATGAAGGTCTATCTAGGGGACTCCATTTCCAGCCTACAATATAATAAAAAAACAGCAGGGGATTACTATCTCTATTAGAATTTGCAATCTAATTCCCACTATTCTGGAGTGAGTGTTTTCCACTGTAACTTTGGCAACGTTTTTAAGGTTCTTATTGTGGTTTATTGCACTCTATTTTCAAATATCTTAAAATTTCTGGCAGTACTTCTGAATGTAAGAAATACCTTGATGTAGCTGTGAAGTCTAGTATTCTCTTTCCAGTACTGATGACGAGATATTTTTGGGAGATGCAGATAAAGGGACGCAAAGTAAAAATCTTCTTTACCTCCAATGTGTGGTATTCATGATGCTGGAGGTTTCATTTATTTATGATGAATAACAGTTGCCCATTCTCCACATATTTGGCTAAACTCATTTAAAGTCATGTAAGCTAATGATCAGAACAGCACTGAACTGCTACACGACAAACAAATACTTTACTTTGACTCTTCATACATTTCTTCTAATAGCAGTAAATGGGTAATTGAAAAATTTTAGAACTCTCAAGCACCATTTATAACTTAATTAAGCATAACGTCTTGGTCTTTTTTCTGACCAAAATAATTCAGATGCTTTAACTTTACCTTTTTTCCCATTTGTAGAGTAGGAATTTAACTGCCTGGCTAGTTTATAGCTGTTTTTAGTGCTTTTATTTTAACTAGTTAGTTATTAAGATAGCACAAAATGATATCCTACATCCTTGGGATTATCATTCTCTTCTACCTTAAAAGTTGTACTTAATATCTTGAATAAATATTTCTGAAAATTTCAACTGGCACAGTGATTGCCTGAAATACAGGTAGTCCTCGATTTATGACCACAATTGAGCCCAAAATTTATGTTGGTAAATGAGACATTTGTTAAGTGAGTTTTGTCCCCATTTTACGCTCTTTCTTGCCACAGTTGTTATGTGAATCACTGCTGTTGATAAGTTAGTAACCTGGTTGTTAAGTGCATCTGGCTTCTCCTTTGTTAGAAGGTCGCAAAAGGTGATCACATGACCTTGGAACATAACAACTATCATAAGTATGAACCAGTTGCCAACCATCTGAATTCTGATCACATGGTCATGGGGATGCTTCAAAGATTGCAACTGTGTAAAATGGTCATGTCACTTTTTTCAGTGCTGTTGTAACTTTGAATGGTCAGTAAATGAACTATTGTAAATTGAGGACTACCTGAAGATCTATAAAATTGATAATACTTATTTTTTAACTCCCAGGTCTAGTTCAAAGCATTGATTTTTAACAGTAAATTTCTAAATGGCTTTGCCTATTTAGAATGATATGTCTAAAATTAGGTATTTCCAGCACCCAGAATTGCTTTAACAGTGAGATGGGTAGCGTATAAATCTAATAAATAAATGAAATGAAATGAAATGTCTATATTTAATTCAAAGAATAACCCAGATTCCTTTACCATTTAAAGTATGGTTAAAATTCTGGCACCTGGATGCTGTGGAATATTTTCCCAATTCTAAGACCTTTTAAATACCAAATTAAAATCTGCTTTTGATATAGGCTAAGGCTATTTTCTTACATTTCTATTTTTTACACTGGGGCTGCTACTCTCCTTTGAATATGGTACAGTTTTAATTTTAATATATTTATGTTTGTGTTTTGCTATTTGTTTTTTAAATTTTGTAATTACATTTTGATATTCAAATAAAACACTTTGTGCAAGTAAATTCAATGTACAGTCACGTAAAGGTCACATGTTTAGGATCTGAGCACTTGGCAATCTGTTAGCAGCATCAGAGCAGAGGCAGCCGTAATGAGCCTGGGGTGCCTCAGAAAGGTGGACGATGCTCTGGGAAGCCCGGTGCAGGCCCCCTGCAGTGTCTCTCCACTCTGGCACTGAAAATCCTCACTGCAAGCAGGATTTTCAGTACTAGAGTGGAGAGACATTCCCGAGAGACCTGTGCTGGGCTTCCCAAGGTCTCCACCAACCCCACACTCTTTACATGGGATTCCATTCTCTTAACCCACAAGATAAATTAATGATCGCAACTGTAGGAGTGCTGAGATTGCAGTCACTAATAAAAGGAGTCATGTGGGCAATCAAGTGACATCTCGCTTATTGACTGCTTTGCTCAATAACTGAGATTCCAGTCCCAATTGTGGTTGTGACTATCTGTACTTCTACTTCATAATAAATATATATGGTATTTGACCTCTGCCATTCTTTCTTAATAACTCCACTATCCATGGAGCTTATATATCTACAATGATTTCTTCTACAATATCTATGAGTGTGCATATGTTCATATGTGTAAATGCATGCACACCCACATACATATATCCAACCAGGATCCCCCCTTTTTAATCTCAGATCCTCCTGGAGTGCAATATAATTTTTTTACATATTATTTTTACTATTTTTTTTGCACAAATTATTTTTACTAAATTTAAGAAGTTTGATATAACTTGGATGTCTATCGGATAATCCACAAGTCTAGATCCAGTGTTAACCTTAGAAACTTATTTTGCTGTTGTTATTGGGTCATTCACTGGTTTACAAATATTAAAAACAGCAGTGGCATCTTAAATCTCCATATAAACCCATTTGCTCCAGTGAACTCAAATAAAAAATTGGGGGGAAAATCTGCAAACCTGTTCCCAAACATATTTAGAAGGTCAGCGGATTCCAACCAATTTTCAGCAATTCCCCATTTTATTGCAAATACCATACCAGAGCCTATACTGTTCAGGAGATTTCCTCATCTCTGTTAAACATACTGTATTTTTAAGTGGACATAGCACACTACAATAAGGAGGCAAGGGTAGTAAAATTCTCTTGACAGGCTATTGAATGAGTCCATATCTGTGTTTTAAAAGGATCTTAAATGGTTTCCTCTCTATAATCATGAGGTTATGAACTGTGATTTTCTATCAATTCTATTCCAGTCGTATCCAGTCACATGAAGATTTATTCAACCTACTCAGCAGAAATCAATGTCAAAGACCATTCAGTTTTACAGAAGCTGTCCACTAGTAACAGTTTTTCTATTCACAAGAAACTGCCTGTATGTCAACAAACTTATTATCATATGTAATAATAAATACTAAATGTACTTGGAAAGTTACCAAGGCTCCCAGTTGCTCCCAGTTTTTAATTTGCATTTGCTTGTAAAATAAAAATGAGAGCATTATACTCACATGCTCTCATAAGTTCATAGACCTTTGGTGGGCAACCTTCAGGTTGTTCCATCCTGTAACCTTTCTCCAATAGATCATAAACTTGAGAAAGGTCAATGCCGGGATAGGGGGACATTCCATAAGTTGCAATCTCCCACAACAATACTCCAAAAGCTGCAAATTAAGCAAGAATGTTTAAAGCTGCATTGTTTAAACAACACTCATTCTTCTTTTCAAGGTATATTGAACTTCTTAACTAAAAAAAAACAACTATCCTGAGAATATAAAAATAACCCAATATAACTTTATAATCCGGATTTACTTACATAAAAGAATTCTGTACTAAAGGTCTTTTTCTCTCTTACCCCAAACATCTGATTTGATTGAGAATGTGTTGTAGGCCAGACTTTCCGGTGCTGTCCATTTGATGGGAAACTTTGCTCCAGCATGAGCTGTATACGTATCTCCCGTCATCAGTCTGCTTAATCCAAAATCAGCTACTTTCACCACGTGATTTTCTCCCACCAAACAATTCCGAGCTGCTAGATCCCTATATAAGCAAAAATGCAAGAAAATTAGCATCCCTATTTTATTCATTTATTCATTTATTACTTTTACAAATAACTCCAGGCGGCGAACATATCCAACATATCTTCCTCTTCCTATATTGCCCACAATAACCCTGAGAATGTATGACTGGTACAAGGTCACCCAGCCAGCATTCACAGTTAAGGCAGGATTAGAACTCACAGTCTCCTGTTTTCTGGTCTGTTACCTTAATCACTAGACCAACTGGCCAGCAAGGTTATATTAAACTCCCCATTTAAGACAGAACTGCCTAAGCACACTATGTAGTATCAAACTAGGGTGCTAGAGTTGGCATACACACATTTTAAGATTGGATTCATGGAGATACTCTTGAATTTCCAAGCAAAGTTGGAGCTTGTCTGTTAATGCACTTAGGGATGTCACCAGGTTCCATACACAATTCACACCAGATCAAAGAACCACAGTACCTAAAACCAGGACAGAACAATTTGGATGATTTTACCTCTGAGCAATTTTATCTTCTAGACCAGGGGTGTCAAACTGCTGGCCTGTGGGCCGGACGCGTCATCCGGAAGCCGCACCCACCCCATTGCCGGCAATGGCAAAACCATCCCAATACATTGCGCGATGTCACGAGTTTGACATGTCTGTTCTAGACCTCTCTAGGAATGCTTGATATTAGAGGGAACACACAATGCATATCTAGACATTATAGAGATGGCAGAACAGCTATTGCCTTTGCTCTAAAAATGGGAAAGACTATGTCTATTGTTCCTGCTTCATTTCCCCAGCATCTTTAGAAAAATGTTTGAGTATAGGATCTATTCTCTCCTGCTGCAAATACTGCCAGCTTCCACACATTCAATGAGCCCTTTATAAACTATCATAATGGAAATGAGATGCTGGCATCTCCAGCCAGTTTTTAATTCATGCAGCTTTTTACTGAAGCACCCTAAATCACCCTTGGCAATTCCTGTAGCTCTTGTCAGGATGTTTTCTATGCACACAAGCAATTCAGTGTTTAGTGGCAATATGGTTCTGCAATGGAAGAAGCATAAACTCCCAAGTATGTATTATTGTATTATTGACAGACATTCTTAGCAAAATAATATTCCTCAGGTCATAAAGAGTTAAAAGTGAGTAAAGAACATCAAGGAGTGAAGGAATCCCATAGAGAGTATGAATAAAAATAAGCCAATGAACAACAAAACTGAACCCTGGAAGAATTAGGATAGACAAGAGGATTTTCTTTGTATGCAACAGATAATTTAGTATTTGAATTCGCTATCAAGAGATAGGCTACCAGTTTGACTTGCTTCAAAAAAGAACAGGATCAATTCATGAAAATCGTGGATCAATCGTTGTTAGGCTTGACGGTCGTGTGACTGCCTTTGAAGGCCATCTGTGGGGAAACTAGTAGGCTTCACTGTGCAGTCAACTGATCACTGTGAGAACAGACTGCTAGACTAGGTGAGCCAGGCATCTGTCCAGAAAGGCACTACTTATGTACTTATTTCTTGGATACATGCCACCTTCTTAAGTGTTGAATGTGTTCACTTCAGGATCTTGCCTCTATTTATGTCCTCTCTGGCCATTTTTTAAAAAGCCTATTTTTATGTCCCATCTTTCATGATCCTTAAATATAGCATTGGTTGGCAATGTTAAACTGAGCTTTTGATTTGCTTAACCATAAAGCTGTTCCTGTAAATGTCCTGCTTGTCATATATTGGATTGCAATCAGGATAGTGTTTAAATAAGTGTGTGTGTATATGTACTGTATGTGTGTGTTTATGTATATACATACGTATGTACACACACACACATACGCACTCCACCTGTAGAAGGGCCAACAGGTGTAGTCATTATTTTAATGAAGAGATAGTGAGCTGATTCCAATACCTGATTCAAACGGTATTGCCGTGAACTGAAACTTGGTGCTGTTGTTCGAAAACTTGTATTTGTCTGATGGGAATGTAAAAGCTAGCCTATGTTAAGCCAACAGGTCCCCTGGTATAATGATTGCCAGATCACCATTTGATCAATCTATTGTAACCATGAAAACGTCTTTGGACAACACTGGCTCCCTCGGCTAAGAAACGGATATGAGCACTGCCCCCTAGAAACAAATGCACAGGGGAAACCTTTACTTTATAGTCAAAATGAGACACGTTTGGGGGCAAAACATATGCATAGCTTTCTGAGCTTTCAAATGTATAATACATTATGTTATCAGGCTTTTTTTCAAAAGTCATAGGAAAGAAACTTGCTGTTTGTCCTCAAATTAAAATAAATTATAAAACTAGGGCAAGATCCCTGAGATTTCCTTCAATTCAAATTAGCTTGGAATAAGTCTGATCAATCAAATCCTATTACACCTTCACCCTCAAGATAATGCACTGCAATTCATAGAGACATTCTTACATTCTTCTTACATTCCTACTTTACAGAATGTCAAGGTTTTCTGCTGACCTATGAATGAAATTCTTCTTCTCCAGGTACTCCATCGCAGAAGATATTTGGGTAGCCATGTACAGCAAGACAACAGCAGTCACTTCTTCCCGACTGCACTCTCGTAGGTAGTCCAGCAGGTTCCCATAGGGCATATATTCAGTTATTATATAAAAAGGGGGTTCTAGGGTGCATACACCTGAAAAACATAGGAGAGCTGGTAAATCCTTATGTACTTACAATTTTGCAATAAAATCTAATCAGTAATTGTCAAAACTGGTAGCACTGCATTCAACATTAAAATATAAGAGGAAAGATTTGTTTCTCACAATTAAAGAAATCCATTTTTAATGATTTTTTAAAAAATGTCTCTAGCAATACTACAAAGATTTCTACACAGATAATTTTGACACAACAGAATTTTCACAAGCTAAGGAAACACTGGGGGGGGGGGAGATTATTAGCAGTACCCCAAAAGCCCCAGCACCGCATTGTGAAGCCTCATTGCTGCAATGTAGTGAAAAGTCACAGTACTGTGGCATAGCAAGAACATAACAATCATGCCAAAAAGGAAGATAGAGAGATCAGCAATATGTGGTGGGGTGGGGAGGGGGTCATAAATGAAGCAGGCCCAAATCTCTATCACATGACTGTGGAGCAATGAAATGGTCATAACTTTGAGGATCAGTAATAAGTTCATCTTTAACACCATTGTAACTTTGAACAGTCGCTGGACAAATGGGTGCTAAGTAAAGACTACCTGTAATTACATATGGTCCTCAGTTTAATTTCAAAAAACTACTTAAAGAGTTCATTTTCAATTTCTGGTGACAGCAGTATCTCCTCCATAACTTACTGCTTAGATATTAGAAACAAAATAAAACAAGACAAAACAAAACAAAACAAAATTTAGAAAAATCTGTTTGTCACCAAAATCAAGTAACAAACCATACTGCTTTATTTCAATGACAAATTTATTAGCAAAAATGTAATGTAGATAACAGGTGGCCCAACTCTGATACACATGAAGCAGTGGCAATTGCTGCTTCCCCATTAGCAAGATTATTCTATAATCTGGACACCATAATAATATAGCTATTAAGAAAAATGGAAATATATATTGCAATCAAAGAGATCATTTATTGAGATCAGAGACAAAGACTACACTAAATTTTGGGTTGGGAATGAGAGTTACAATTGGTTGAAGCTTGTAGTTTTGCTTGCTTTAGCCATGGTTCTGAATCTACCTTTAAAAAACCATTTCTTTTAGGCATTTGAGGACTAAGAGATGAATTTCAAGCTTGAAAAATAACAAGAAGGGGGCCTTGACTGCCAATTCCACCTCTGCAATGCTTTAAACACAACATTTGCACAAGTCCATAGATTGGGGAAAACCCACAAACACAGATTCATTCATTCATTCATTCATTCATTCATTCATTCATTCATTCACTCACTCACTCACTCACTCACTCACTCACTCACTCACTCATTCATTCACATAAAATATAGGACACAAAAACTGCACAGTTTGCGGTGGGATGCAATTTACAGATGTAGTCATTTCTAATAGTATATCAAGTGTGTGGAAAGTTGGAGACAAAACTCTCATGCTTAATGAGCAAGATCAGCAAACACAATTTCATCAGAGGAAAGCTTTCCATATTTAGAGCTTTGTTCAAACTGGTCCAAAGTAAGTAAAGCTTAAATATTATGCCTCAACTGTTTGATGTGTGCAGTTGGAATGCAACAAATATATATTTAATACAAAAAGAACTGTGTGATCAGATTTGTACACTCACCTAATAATTGTACTAGATTTGGATGCTTGATTTCCTTCATAACAGAAGCTTCTTTCAAAAATTCCTCTACCTCCATAGTATCCTCCTGGAAGTTTAAGACACGACTCCTCTTAATAACCGCAATTAATTTACACAAAAATTTGGGAGCAGATGCCTTATTACAAGGGGGGCAAATGACAGACCAAGATACATATCCAATTTCCCAGCTCTTATTTTCCTGGTTCCCAACTCAACCATAATAACAGGAAGGTAGGAGCATACAGTGGAAAGATCACGTTCAGGAGATCAACACTTCTGCAATCATGACTTTCTGAATCTTTCTAAATCCAAAAAGGTCTATCTACTGGTTGCATTATATTTGCAGAAGTGACCAACTAATGCTCTCTGTATCTGCTCACAAAACAGGTATTCGCAAGTACATCATCCCTTGATTTACATTAAATATTTCAGAAAAATAATACTTTAGTCATGAACATCTGAGCTTTTCCAAATGGATCAATAGTACCTCAAGCAAATGATGGAACACCTTTTCAATTGAAAGTACATCTTTTGGAAGGTTAATCTCTGCAGGAAAGGCTTTTTACACATATATACTCTGAATAAGCCTGTGAGCTGTAGCAACATAGACACCTGATAAAAAACAAAGCACTATAGCAAAACTGAGATGCAGGATACATGTTTCTGATAGTATGTTTTGTATACAGTATATGTATATGCACAGTGGTTGCCTTAACCAAGAATTTGAAAGAAGGAAAATGTCAGCCAATTTTTATAGATACCATCTCCTAAATACACGGAGGGAGAGCATCTCTATTTGTACAGGTAGTCCTCGACTTAGACCGAAACGGGGTCTGGAACTTCCATCATTAAGCAATGTGGTTGTTAAGTGAATTGTGCCCAATTTTATGATGTATTTACCCTGGTCGTTAAGCAAATCACCACTACTGTTAAGTAAATCTGGCTTCCCCCACTGATTTTGCTTGTGGGAATTGGCTGGGAAGGCTGCAAATGGTGGTCACGTGAGACCAAGATGCTGTAATCACCACAAATACACGTTGATTGCCAAGCCCCTGAATCACAATCATGTGACCACAGGTATGTTGTGATAAGTGCAAGGACTGGCTGCAAGTCACTTTTTTTCTGCATTACTGTAACTTAAACAATCTTTTAATGATTTTAAGCTCAGGAATATCATTTAAAAAACTGCCAGTGCTAAACAACCCAAGTTCACAAGATCTGTCTTTTGTAGCCACAAACCTCTGACGTTCAGGACATCAGCAGGCAGACAAGTACTCTAGGCCTAGCATTGTACACTTCAGATGCATTTCAATAACACCACAATGCTCTCAAGACTGCAATCATACCTTGAGTGTTTTCACTGCAACTGTAAGGTTATATTTCTTCCATACCCCAACATACACTTCACCATATTGTCCTCCACCGAGTTTGTGCTTCATGGTGATATCTGTTCGTTCCATCTCCCATTTGTCATGGATGGGTGACACTCCATAGACTGTGGGCTTATTGCACTTGGGTGCTGGGTAGTGCAAAGTTGTTACGAGGCCATCAGCTACCGTTGAGTGGTGGTGAACTAGTTCTGCCAATGTGTTAAAGCGACTTTCAGCTGTCACATATACCTGTTAAAGAGGAAATGAAGACCTTATATAAACTGGTCAACACGGGGCATGAAAACCTAAGCAAGTGAGAGAGAAAAAATTCCTATTCTCTCCAAACCATTCTCCTGAATCAAAATAATCAAAAGTTTATGAAAGCAAAACAAACCCTTATGAAATATTCTGAGTATTTAGAGACAGTCATTCTCGAAATTACTCTCGCAGCGCAGAAAAGGTCTTCTGGAAAACCAGCCTGCAGGCTTCAGCGAAGAATAGAGAAAACTCCCAGCATGGGCAGAGCCTACTTGCAAGCTCTCAACTCACTCTTGGCCCAGCCTTCTTCATGCAAAGCCTCACAAATAGCCAATAGCTTCCAATGTTCTGAATCCTGCAGGCCAGTTCTCAAGGAGTGCTTTTGATACAAACCCTGCAGCTCATGTTGGAAGCTGCTGGCCATTTGTGAGATTTGCAGGAGGAAGGTTGGGCTGAGCCCGAGCAAAGGGTTTGTGAGTTGAGCTTGCCTCCATCCCTCGCTGAAGACCACAGACTAGTTTTCCAGGAGCACTTTCAACACAAGCTGCAGAGGATATGCTGTGCCTCTGGGAGCCCTACACCCCTCTGCTTCCTTCAGTTGTACTGCCACCACAAACAGTTGCTTCCTCACACTCTCCACCTTTGCTCAGGAAACTGATGCCTGCATTCCTGCCTTATCTGGTGACCTACAGCATCACGCCTCACTGTCCTGCTGCTTCCTCTTCAGCCAGGCCTGATTAGCTCTCTTTGGCAGATGAAGCTCTGCTACCCTGCTGCACTCCCCACACGCCTCCCAGGGCTGCATATTTTCCCAGAGCCTGGATCCTGGGAAAGCAGGAGGAGGAAGAAGACAGTGATAGTCAACTGGGGGCAGCAGTGGCAGGGGGCAGAAGAGGTATGTGCAATACACCCCAAAAAAATGGGGGAGGGGGGGAGAGATAGGCAGATGGGGGAGTTACAGCATACCTATGGTCTTAAGTGTGGGCAGGTGGCCAACATCCAAATTTTGATCATGTAACCGTGCAGCTGCTATAATGGCTGAAAGTCATAAGTCCATATTTTTCAATACTACTTTAACTTAAAACAGCTTGAATGAATGGTTATAAGTTGAGGACTACCTGTACTGTCACTTTAGATTTTGCTTCTTCTGTATTTTCTGCTTGGACAGTTCTGGGATTTGCTCCAGGTACTTTGGCCTTCCGATGACCAAGTAGTTTGTCCAGAAAGCAACTGGGAAATCATTTTCTGGAATAATATGTGACTATTTGATCTTGCTTCCTTTTGGTTATTTTCAACTTGATTATTAGAGCAATATTAGTCCCTCTTCATAGTATGCCAAGCAACTGACTCTACCTAATATCTCCAAGAGATTTATCTAAAGAATTAGGACCAAAACCTTTATTTTTCAAGAAATGGACCCACTACAAATAAGAATTTCCTTGCTTTTTATTTTTCACCCAGAATGATCAGGGGATACATAAACTTTTCAATGTTTCAAAATAAAAAAAAAGATTAATAGAACCAACCTGCTTTGCTGTAAACCTGTCACATTGAATTTAACTGAATTACTACAAGAGTAACTTTCTCATGGCTCAGTATCACAACACATTAATTATAAAGATTTAACTAATAGAGAGTTGGTCTCCCAAAATGAATTTCTACAATTTCTGCAAAATAATGCAGAGGGGAATGAGACTGCTATGAAGAGAATAGAAAACAGAACCTATTATCTCAGTGCTGCCTTGATGTTTGATCAGTGGCTAATCAACTTGCTCATGCAACACAAAACCAGAAGAACATCCCTTGCTAGGAAGGCACTTATTCTTACAAAGATAGATGGAATTACAGAATGTATTTAAGATTTCTTTGGCCCAGACGTTCTATACCTACAGATGTATTGTATTTATACAAAAAAAAGTTTCTCAGAACAGATTTACCTTGCCATCTGTGGTGGTATTGATCCTGTAGTGGTAAACACGTCCCTCGTACCTGAGCGAGATTGACAGCTGTCCTGGGCTGCTCTCACTTTCTCGAACAAGGAAGCTGCCATTAATGAGGCTGCTCAACAGATATTCAGCTGCACTGCGTGATACTGGTCCATGATACCAGGAATGCTTCTCCAGGCTGTTTACTGGAGTGATGTAGTTACTTGGCACCCATCCTTGTCCATTCTTGGA